GCCCGGCCCCGTACCCGATAATAATCGGCGGCGTAAAGATTTCGGCTCATCCCGAAATCGGCCACTTTGACGGTGAATCCGTCGCCCACCAGGCAATTCCTGGTGGCCAAATCCCGGTGCACGAAATTCCTGCGTGCCAGGAATCGCATCCCGGACGCGATTTGGGCGCCGACGTGGAGCAAAGTGGAAAAACTGCAAAAAAAACTCGCGAGGTTTTAGGATTTTCTGCTTTTAATTATCTTTTTTTTTTTCCCTCAAAAGTGATTTTTTTCTGTTAAAAATCGTTTTTTTGGATGCTAACATGTGATTTCCCTGCTCAAAAATGGGTTTTTTTACCCCAAAATCTGCTTTTTCGCCGTTAAAATCGCCGAAAAAGTCGCTTTTTCATACCCGAAATTCTGCGTTTTCCAACCAAATTGCTTTTTGCTGCATCTGTTTGTCTTTTTTCCCCCCCAAAAATATTTTTTTTTCCCAAAAATCAGGTTTTTCTGACCCTAAAATCTGCTTTTCCAAAAAATATTTCCTTTTTCCCCCCCTTATTTTTCTTTTTCCCCCAAAATCCACTTTTCCCACTAAAAAAAAATCCCATTTTCCACCCCCCCAAATTCACTTTTTCCACCCCAAATTCGTTTTCCCCACCCTGGAAATGCTGACAGGAAATGACGCGGGGGTGGGCGTGGCTTGCTTTGGGGGCGTGACCGGAAGAGGCGTGGCCCGGAGTGGGCGGGGCCTCTCTTAAAGGGCCACGACCCCGGAAATGTGAAAGGAAAGCAAAAGGGAGTGGGCGTGGCTGGAGTGGGCGTGGCTTCTTTGGGGCATCTCCTGATTGGGGCCCACGTCACAAAAGTGGGCGTGGTTTCTCTTAAAGGGCCAGAACCCCAGCAGTGCGGATGAAAAGTGATTAGGAGTGGGTGTGGCTGGAGTGGGCGTGGCTTGTTCAAGGCGTGTCACGAGTGGGCGTGGCTTCATTTGGTGCACAACCTGAATGACAAAGTGGGCGTGGTTTCTCTTAAAGGGCCAGAACCCCAGAAATGCGGATGACAAGCGATTAGGGGTGGGTGTGGCTGGAGTGGGCGTGTCTCGGGTGGGTGTGTCCGGGTGTGGGCGTGTCCCACCTGAGGGCGTGGCCGCGGGGCCCGCCCAGGAACTGGTGCAGGTCTCCGTGCTCCATGTACTCGGTGACGATGCACAGGGGGCCGGGCCCCGCGCACACCCCCAGCAGCCGCACGATGTTGGGGTCCCGCAGCCGGCCCAGGGTGCGCGCCTCCTGCAGGAAATCCCGCCTGGCCCCGCCCCCGGCACAGGTATCAGCACACCTGGGCACACCTGGGCACACCTGGGTACACCTGGGTATGCCCTGGGTACACCTGGGTATGCCCAGGGTGCGCGCCTCCTGCAGGAAATCCCGACTGGCCCCGCCCTCAGCATGACATCAGCACAGCTGGGCACACCTGGGTACACCTAGGTACACCTGGCTATGCCCTGAGTACACCTTGGTACACCTGGGCACACCTGGGTATGCCCTGAGTACACCTTGGTACACCTGGGCACACCTGGGTACACCTGGGTCCAGGTGAGCCCTCCCCAGGTGAGGTCGGTCACACCCAGAACCCCCTTGGGGCTCTGTGCCCACCCAAACCCCTCCCCAAAAGAACCCC